TCTTGACTTCAGCCAATTTATCCCGTAGTGATGCCAGTGCACTTCAGCTCAGCAAAGGTATAATCTTAAGAACAAAGGCAGGCCCTGGAATCCTGAGTCAGAATTCCATCTTTAGGTGGCTGTAAAAGAATCCTAATTGTTGTGTTATATTGTTTAAATTGCTATTAAAATAAAAATGTTATTAGAGCTGTTGTGTTTTCAGTTAGAAATGTCATAGAAATTACAGACCTTCAGATTGAAAGGCAACTGCTTCACATCATTGATACAATATTAATTCAGACAATAAACCCAATAAGCAGTTACCAAGTATTGCCCTGTGCCAGGTGAAGTGATAAGGCTGGAGCCACAGAATTAAATCACAAGTTCTGTCCACATGGAGCACTCATAGTCTGAGATAAACAATCATCTGTTAACAGAAATTTCTGCGGTCAGGCAACATCAAAGCATCAGAATTTTGAAGAAGTGTTATACTTTCTGGGGCTTTCTTGAAGCAAACTAGAGTGTCCATCTATCTCGCTTTACTCAATTACCGCTGCAGCCTAAAGAGAGAGCTATGTGAGCTCCTGGACACCTGCTGGTGTTTGCATGATGAATATCCCTCTGAGAGTCTCCTTATGTTTCGTCAGCTGTTGTCCGTAGCTGTTTATGTAACCCTTTGCTTAAAACTGAAAAACGGGAAATGGCAATCCAAAAGCATCTGCAGAGTATGCATAAAAACTAGTTCAGGCTGGGCATGGTGGCTCACGCCTGTAAACTTTGCACTTTGGGAAGCCGAGGCGGGTGGATCACTTGAGGTCAGGAGTTCGAGACTAGTCTGGCAAACATGGTGAAACCCCATCTCTACTAAAAATTAGACAGGCATAGTGGCAGGCACCTATATCCCAGCTACTCAGGAGACTGAGGCAGGAGAATCACTTGAACCCAGGAGGCACAGGTTGCAGTGAGCTGAGATCGCACCACTGCACTCCAAGCTGGGTGACAGAGCAAGAATCTGTCTCAAAAAAAGAAAAAAGATTAGTTCAATATAAAATAGCTCTTTTAGGTTGTGTACAGCCTTGTTGTCATCTCCATTGTATTTTGGTAACACCTGATTCATCTGTTTCTTCAGGACGCACTGAGCACTAGTGGGTTTGCTAAGATTTTAATGTGGCAAATTGCTTTCAACTTCTTTATTAGAAATTTGCCAGCCATCCATAATCTTGTTAGAAAGGCTGTGTGTTCTTTGATTTCTGAGCGTGGTTATGGGGTACAGGATGGTTCAGGATAAAATAGGTAGGATTCTTTACTACAAAGCATCCTGTGTTTAGCTTCCAAATTGCCTCATCCATCACTCTGCAGCGCAATTATCTCAGGACTGAGTGCAGAACTTGATACTTGGGTCATGCTAAAAAGGAAAAATAGAAAAAATAAACCATATCAAAGAAACAAAGAACAAAAACAAGTGTATGAAGAATAAATGAATGACTCTAAGTGCTGAACCCACAATAAAAAAAAAAAATACATGCCTTAATGGGGTAAATGTGGGGAGGGTAGAGTTAAGGAATTTAAAATAGATAACTTTTGTTGCACTTTTACTGCATGAAAGTCATTATGCTAAACACCTGCTGCCTTTTCTAATTCTCATAACAACCCAATGAGTATGGAGCTATTTCTGGCTCTATTTTCTAGATGAAATACCCTCAGAGAAGATTGTTTTAAGACAGGAGTCACAGTTCTAGAACACATAGTGCTCCCAGAACAAGAGAAGAGAAGGGAAATTTCTAGAGTGAACTAATCACACCATTCCAACCAGATGGGCTGTGAATGATGACATGGCACACCTCAGACACATTTCCAAGTCTTCTTCTGCTCTTCCATATGTAGATGCTGTCTAGGTGCCAGATTTGGATACATCTTCCCTAGATGTTTGGAAACTCCTTTCTCCCCACCCATTTCTCTTTCTTTCTTCTTTTTTTTTTTTGAATAATAGCTTAATTGAAATATAATTCACATACCATACATTTCACCCATTTAAAGTATACAGTTCAATGTTCTTTAAAGTATATTCAGAGTTTCACATCCATCACCATAATCAATTTTAGAACATTTTTATTACCCTGAATAAAACTTCATAACCATTAGCATTTATTCCCTACTCCTTCCCCTCAACTTCTGGTAACTACTAATCTCCTTTTTGTTTCTATGAATTTGCCTATTATGAACATTTCATATAAATTAAGTTATACAATCTGTGGCCTTTTGTGTCTGGAGTCTTTCACTGTAACTTCATCAAAATTGAAAGAGCTAGAGGAGCAAGATAAAAAACTCAAAAGTGAGCAGAAGACAAGAAATAGCTAGGATTAGAGCAGAACTAAAGGAGATAGAGACACAAAAAAATCCTTCAAAAATCAATAAATCCAGGAGCTGGTTTTTTGAAAAAATTAACAAAATAGACAGACCACTAGCAAGACTAATAAAAAAGAAAGAAGAGAAAAATCAAATAGATGTAATAAAAAACAATAAAGAGGAGATCACCACCAATTCCACAGATATATGATCTACCATCAGATAATACTACAAATAGCTCTATGCACATAAACCAGTAAATCTGGAAGAAGTGGATAAATTTGTGGGTACTTGCACCCTCCCAAGACTAAACCAGGAAGAAGCTGAAATCCTGAATAGACCAATAACAAGGTCTGAAGTTGAGACAGCAATTAACAACCTACCAACCAAAAAAAGTCCAAGTCCAGATGGGTTCACAGCCGAATTCTACCAGAGGCACAAAGTGGAGCTGGTACCATTCCTTCTGAAATTATTCTAAACAATACAAATAGAGGGAATATTTCTTAACTAATTTTATGAGATGAACATCATTTTGATACCAAAACCTGGAAGAGACACAACTAAAAAGAAAACTTCAGACCACTATCCATGATGAACATGAATGAAAAAATCTTCAATAAAATAATCAAATGTAACAGCACATCAAAAAGCTTACCCATCACAATCAAGTAGGCTCCATCCTGAGGATGCAGGGTTGGCTCAACATACATAAATCTGTAAACATAATCCATCACATAAACAGAACCAAAGACAAAAACCACATGATTATCTCAATAGATGCAGAGAAGGCCTTTGACAAAACTCAACAGTGCTTTATGCTAAAAACTCTCAATCAACTAGGTATCAATGAAATGTATCCTTTCAAGCTCCTTTTAAAATTTCTTTTGAGCAAGTTATGGGCAGCAGATTCTCTCAGTTGTTTTTTGCCTAGGAGTATCGTAACTTTTCTTTTGTTTTTGAAGGATAGTTTTGCAGGCTATAAAATTATTGGTTGACAGTCCATATTTCAGCACTTTGAAAATGCCATCCTGCTGCCTACTGGCCTCCATGGTTTCTGATGAGATATCTGTTAATCTTATTGAGCATCCCTTGTGTATGATGCATAACTTCTCTCTTGCTGCCTTCAAAACGGTCTTTGGCTTTTGACAATTTAATTGTAATATCTAAAAGTAGATCTCCTTGAGTGATCCTACATGCAATCTGTTGAGCTATTTGTATATATTGATTAATGTTTACTTCAAATTTGTAAAGCTTTCTGTCATTATTTTTTTTCATATACCTTCCTAAACTTTTGTTTCTTTTTATCTCTGTGACTTTTATTATGGATGTTGTTTTGCCAGTGGTCTCTGGGTCTCTGTTAATTTTACTTTTGTTTCATTGACTGAATAATCTCAATTGATCTATCTACAAGTTTTGGATTTTTTTTTATTCTTCCTGGTTAATTTCCAGAGTTCTGATGGCAAATCACTCTAGTAAAGTTTTCATTTCAGTTATTATATTTTCCTATAACAGTTTCTCTATTATTCTAACTTTTTAAATAACTGATTTATCTTCATAGATATTTTCTATGTTGTGAGACATAGTTCTTATGCTTTCCTTTAGTTCTTGAGATGTGCCTTTTTAGTTTCTTGAACATACTTATCATAACAGATTGAACATATTTACTATGTCTAGTGTCTGGGCTTCTTTGGGGATAATTTATATTGACTGTTGGCTTTTGCCATGTATGAGGCTGTATTTCCTTTTTGTTTGCATGTCTTATAATTTTTTTGTGAAAAATTGAATATTTTAATAATATAATTTGGCAACTCTGGACATCAAATTTTCTTACCTACTTACAGGTTGTTGCTGCTGCTTATTGTTGTTATTGTTTTTTTGGCTTTTTGAATGACTTCTATAAAGTCTGTGGTCTTTGTCATGTGTGTTCACTGTAGTCCATGCTTTCTTTGTTTAGTTGCCTACTAATAATTGTACAGATACTCTTAAAGACATGGAACTAATAATTATCTCAGTATTTGTCAAGGTGCTCTGTGTGCATGTTAAAGCATGACTTCAACATTCTGACTGGCAGTTGACAACTCTGATTTTCCTTCACTTCATGTTTGCACCCAGCCTCAAGGTCAGCTCAAGTTTAGAATTTAGGCCCTTCTCAGTGTTTTCTTAGTATGTTACTGTACACTACTGAGTACATTACTGAGCATGCACATCACCCTGTTGGTTGGTGCTGGTTTAGCATGTATGTGAGGACCATAGTGTGATGTGATTTTAACATCAAGATAGGAGATTGGGACTGGTCTTAACATTTACCAGTGTTCTCATTTGAAATAAGTAAGTTAACCTTTCAGTATCAGGGATTTTTTAGATTTCCAGGACTGCATCAAAGCATTTAAAACTCCTATGAACATCTCATTCCCCAGATATTTCCTTTAAGCTTTTTTCAGCTAACTTATTTTTTGCCCTTGCTATTATCTACTGCCACAGGCAGCTGCAAAGTTTTTTTTAAAAAAGTTCTCTTATTGTTTTCAACAAATAGCCTTGATAAAGGTTTTTAGAGATCTGAGTTAGGTCAAATAAAGAGAGCCTTGCAAGAGGGTCTTGAAGCAAACTATCATGCAGGTAAAATAAAGACGATTCTCTGAGAACGAATAATTGAAGGAGATTTAACACCCCTTTACCTCCTCTGATGACTGCCAGGCTGCTGGTTTTCACCATAGTTGCAGGCTATTGTTTTCCAGGCTACTGTGGAGCTGGAGAGGTATAGATGAAAATAGGCAAGTTAAAATATCGTAAAGCTCACTTTCTTACTGAGATTCAGCTGTTTTAGTGAATAAGTGCTCCTTGCAATTCTATAACCTGTTAGTTAATTTCTAGAGTTCTGAAAATGGTTATCTGCACAATTTTTGCTATTTTTCTCATGACTTTCATGGAAGATGTACTTTTCAGATGTCTTTATTCCACTATTTGTGCTGGTTTCTAAGGATTGCATTTCGAGAGACAAACAAGAGTTAGGGAGAAACAGTGATGTGAGACTCGGGAGAAAAATAAGAGTTGAAAGAACCCTTACAATTCTCATTAGAAACAATTATAGCTAGACATCTGTTATCTCATATAGTGGTCACATGTGTTTGCTTAAATTAGGGTGGGTACAGCAGCTTATGCCTGTAATCTTTGCACTTTGGGAGGCTAAGCAGTAGGACCACTTGAGGTGAAGAGTTCAAGAGCTGCCTGGTCAACATAGCAAGACTTTATCTCTACAAAAATCATAAAAGGAAAAAGAGTGGAGTCTGGTGGTGCAAGCCTATAGTCCCAACCACTTGGGAAACTGAAGCAGAAAATCACTTGAACCCAGGAGTTTAAGGTTGCAGTGAGATGTAATCACAGCACTGCACTCCAGCCTGGGTAAGAGAAATTTTTTTTTTAATTAACTAAAATGAAATTAAGTGTAAAATTCAGTTTCTCACTTACAGTAGCCAAATCTCAAAGGTTCAATAGTCATATGAGACTAGTGGCTGCCATTTTGAGCAGCACAGATGTAGAGCAGTTCCAAAACTTGTGACTGGAAAGTGCTAGTCTACTGTATGTGTGAGAAAACATAGTGTGATGTGACTTGAACATTGCAAGAAAAGATTGGGACTGTTTTTCATATTTGGCAGCTGTCTCATCTGGAGCAAGTTAATTAACTTCTCAGTATCATACATCTTTAAATGGTAGGAAATATAATTATTTAGTTAGGAAAACATATAAAAGCATCTTAGCTCAGATTCCAGCACATGATAGGTACTCAATAAATGTTGACTTCATGCCTCTCCATTCTTATCAAACTTCTCTTGTAATATTTGTAAAGGAAACTGCTTTCTATTCCTGATTGCATAAAATATAAGCATCTCTCTATGCAAACAGGTATTAATAAGTGACAGAAAAAAATAGCATGGATAGTCAGTAACCCTCAGACACAGAGAAGGTCACCTTTTCTTAGTGGCACGTTTATTTATTGGTGGATGGTAAGGCCAGACCTTGCTGTGGACCACCTCTGTTGCTGTTTTCAGTCATCATAGTTCTTCCTGCCTGTTGATGGCCCAGCTCCACCTTTGGCGTTGAGCACTCTCCACTCTCTCACCACCCTCAACTGGTGTCAGTGGACAGCTTGAAACATGTTTCCATATATAGGGATATTGTCTGTCAGTAAATCTTTTCTCTTTGTAATTAAGCTTATTTAAAATCTAACTTTAACAAAATATAAATTCTGGCTATTTGAAAGTTTTTAGAATAACACTTTTTTTGGGGAAGCAAGAAATGTACCTGCTTTATTGCTAATAAAAGTGTACCTTTTATTGCAATATTTTTTCTTAAAATTCTTGAACTAGAAGAAATAGGACCAGACACTAAAAGCCATGGATTCTTTACTGGTGCATCTTAATGGTCACTTTCTGTCTGAAGGAAAATGAATATTCCTTATGGAATAACTCCTAAGATTTATTAAGAAAGGACAAGACTGTCAACAGTGATGTAACTTTCCTATTAAGCTAGAATTGGACATTGGAAGGCAGACCTCGGCTTTCCTAGGAACGGGGATGTTATAGCATGGAGCAGTAATTTCAATGCTCTCTGCCGACCATCCTCTGCAAAATGAAAGAAACCATGTTTGTGCTGTTCTGGGTTCTCATAAAGCTAAACGTTCTTAAGTAAAGCTGCTTTTAAAAAGTTTGGGACTAGGATATTCCAAAGTACAATAAAAATTATACATATTCCTTGAAGGAAAAAAACTGTGTAGGGCCTTTTTCTGGGGAAACTAACTTTTATTGTTTTCAGTATGCTGGCCGCCTGCTATGTTGTTGTTTTCTTGTTTATAAACTATGACTTAAAGAGCTCTCTTACATTGCTTCAAGATTTTCAGCATTTCAAAGGACGTTCTAGGCCATTATCTCTGTTCCTCATAACACTTTGAAGGAGGATGAAAAATTCTAATAGGTATCTCTGTTTAACAAGTATAGAGACTGCAAAGCAATAGCCACGTACTTGAACTGAGAAAAAAAGGATACAAAAGGCCATTTTTCTATCTCACAGGTAAAGAGAAAGGTGAGATAATCCCTTTCCCCTGAAACTTTAGACCTCTCTTTTTACCCAGGTAGTTTGCAATCTTTCTAGCCATTTGTATTTATCAGATTCACTGATGATGAATTTAGGGAGTACTTTCATGATGATCCTGGTAGAGGATGCAGAAGGAAACTCGATCCTAACACAGAACATGTTCTTATGGGGGATACCACAACCATAGGGTACTGAGAGCTCTCATGAAAAAACTGTGACAAGACCTTAGGGGCTAACCTGGGACAGAGGTCAGACTTCTCTCTTGATAACGCCCCCATGAGTTCTTTAGTCACATATGCAGCTATGGAGTTAGAAACAAGACCCAAAGTAGGAGGGTATGGTGAAACTTTGTAGTAGAATAATTTTTTAGAACTTCTGAAGGTCCTGCTCAAAAATATATGCGTTTTTATTGAGTCACAGTTGCAGGCATCTTTAGATTTGGCCCTGATTTGTTAGATAATATGACATCAATAAATATAAAAATTTTTTCATGCAGATTAATCTCTTTGGTCCCTTCATCCTTGCTACTCAAAATGTGGTCCTCAGACCTGCAGCATCGACATCAGCTGGGACTTCGTTAGAAATGCAAAATCTCAGACTCCACCCTAGACCGGCTGAATGCAACTGCACTTTTAAATGATCTCCAAATCGTTTGGATACACATTTGGCAGACACTGATCTGTATTGCACAGCACTCCTAGGGGCCACAGTTACTTAGTAGGGTGTTGGTCCTTGTATCCAGGCATGAACAGATTGGAAAAAGGTTTCCTTGGCAACGGAGAAATGATGGTTATCTTAGATGGCTCTGAGAAGCTTTTCCTGCTCATCTTCAAGACAGAGTGCATATTGTCTTGAAGATAATCAGGAAAGGCACAGTCTTGGGAAAGGCAAGAACCTCACACCCCATGAAAGATATATTTACGTAGCTCTTAAATGAGAACCAAAGTTCATCAACTTCAGAGACAGTCTGAGAAAGTTGTGGAATTTTAGGGTAAGCAGAGAAGTAAAATTCTGTTTCGATTTTCCACATGGGCTTAGGGGAGAGACAATAGGATAATATTCATTTGTGTGTTCAGTTGTCTGAACAATATTTTTGTGTCTTTTTTATGTCCAAAATACATTTTGCGTTTTTCGTGTATTTGCTTCCATTGTAGATATGATCAGGATACTGAAAAAATATAGCAGTCATTTTGTTTGGTACTGCCCTGTATTTCTAGCTTATAGTATTTTGCATGCTTCTGATGATTAAAATATGATTGATGACTCAAGTCCCCTGCTTGTTTCTACACGAAGTCCTGTGAGGTCACAGGCCGTGTTGGTCAAGCTAGCCAATACAGAACCTGAGTACAGTGGCTACTTGTTGATGTGCGGGAGAGAAATTATTCTTATGTAGGATGAGGAGTACTATGTCAGAAGGAGAACAGGGCTGAGGGAGAACAGAGAGGGGGACCTACTCATCTGAGGAACAAGTAGATAAGTGAGGGAGAGAAGAGAAGGATAAGGTGGAGGTGGTTAAAACAGAATGAAGAGGAGGTGATGGGAATAGAAACAGGGAAGCACTGGGTGGGCTTATGTGCTGGTAAGTAGGGAGAAGAAGGTTGCCACCCTTATTGTCAATGCTTAAGGGATTTTTTTTTTAATTTTGAAAATCAAAGATAGCCTCTAAAAAAGGTCATGCTAGTCCACCTGACATACAACACAGATTGTGTATTTAATTATTGCACTGGGCAGGGTTCATTGGCTCTTATCTGTAATCCTAGCCCTTTAGGAGGCTGAGACCTCCTGGCCAACATGGTGAAACCCTGTCTCTACTGAAAATATTTTTTAAAAATTAACCAGGCATGGTGATGCAGCCTGTAATCCCAGCTACTTGGGAGGCTGAGGCAGGAGAATCTCTGGAACCAGGAGGCGGATGTTACAGTGAGCTGAGATCCCTACACTGCACTCCAGCCTGGGAGACCGATTGAGTCTCCCTCTCCAAAAAAAAAAAAAAAATTATTGCACTGAATGAAAAAAAACAATTATGATCAATCACTGTACTCACTAAACATGATTTGCAGTAGTTTTAGTTATTATTTAATTGCATTATGTTTTAAACATTATTGAACAAAGGTAATAATGGAATTATAAGGAAAAATTCTTAAATAGACTGAACAAATTACCTGGCATGTAAATTAATTGATACCATTTCCAAGCAATGAAGTGAAGTTCTAATTATACCGTATCACCTTGGATTACATGGGAAATGGGTAAATTTATTTACTTCAATTAATGGTTTCATTACTAAAACAGCAACATTTAATGAATTCCGAAATGTTCAGCATTAGACACGCCTGTTTGTCGAATTTAAAACCCCTGATCTGTACAAGGATTTGTGCACTCAGCCTGTGAACAAAATGACCTTGCTTGCAAAGTGCAAGGAGAGGAGTCACAGCAAGCAGCTGAGCGGCACGTGCTCAGGACTGAGGACCTGAGCTCCGTGTGGTTGTAAATATCTGCAGATAATCTATGATGAAATTCACTTATAAATCAGAACCGGAAGCTGGAGTTGGTGGAGAGACAACACATAAGGTCATATTATGGGCTGAGAGTTTGGACTTGTCTCTGCCACAAAGAGGCTATGGAGTCTTTGATAGGTAAATTCCCCAAGCAAGGCACT